ACTGAGATTGGTAGATGTTGCTTCTAAGCATCAAGGGCAAGCAGTGGCAATCTGACAGGTTTTCCTCATTTGTGGTATGAATGTCTCTGGTGATGTTTTTGAGCGGCCACATGGCCACAGATGTGAAGGTTGTCCACACATGAACTATTGCAGTGATTTCTCTGAAGTCTGTATTAAGTTGCCCAGCTTTAGTTTGCATGGCTTCAGGAAAAAGGCCAGTTTTAGTTTCATAATGATTCCCAGTCAAAAGAGTTGGCAGAAAATTGAAAATGTTAGTTTGGATCATTCTAGCCAAATACTGGAAGAAACTAGAACTCAGGATCCACTCCAGTTTACAGGTAGAAAGCAAAACCCCAAAGACAGTTAAAGCACTAGATGTATTTTTCAAAGATTTTCTCTCTATGATGGTCCCCATTTCTATCAAATGTAACCACAGTGAGACTAATCACCTTTGTACATTTTAAGTTTAGGTTCAATGAACTTGGCCTGAATATTTACATAAATGAAGCAAGAATAGTAATTGACATGTAGTGACTGACCACAACTGACCATGACTTTTAAACCTGCCTTGCTGAAGCTCTTTCAAAGGAATTTCAGGTTGCACTTTCAGAAGTCTCTCAAAGCTAGGAAGAGAAGCAGAGGGTTGCCAGGCAGCTGCATCTGGGTATTTCTCTCTCCGCACTAGCTGAGCCTCAACCCAGACACAGGAGGGCTCTTGACTCTGATTGAGAAACAATTCTCCAACAGGTCAGACAACTGTAGGTGAGGAAGGAATTCAAAGCAACAGTACTAGTGAATGGCAGTAGCCATGCAGGCAGTAGAGAGCAAGGAAGAGCAGAGTGAGGATAGGAAAGTTTACTGAACTCCTGTTCAGAGAGGGCAAATCTTTTGCCAACTCCTGAAACAGGGTCGCCTGGCATCCAGTGTCTGTTTGAATCTGCATGTTATGGGAACTAAGTCCCTACCACCCCAGAATTGGGGGAGTCACAGAGCACTGGAAGGAGTGAGGTTATGCTCTGAGAACTTCCCAAAAGCAAAGAAAGGAGATTTTCAGGCAGGCTACGAAAGAGCATGATGGTACAGCTGTAGTCTCTACGGGTTACCCAAGCGACAGGAACTTGCAAGCCCAAATCAGAGCTCTCAGTGGCCCTTCGTACTTGTCTGAAGTAGAACAGAGAGACTGAAGACTAGTGCTTTAGTCTAGAAAATTAAATGAAATAGTGAAGTAACAAAAGTGGTTACCACTGGGAAAGGGGTTTCCCTTAACCTCCCTAAAGGCTTGGGAGAACACAGAGACAAAATATAGTAAATTAAGCAGCAAGAAGGCTTTATTTAAGGCAAAGTGTACTATCAAGGAAAGGGGAGCATGGACAGCCTCTGAGCGGAGGTGTGCTTAAAGTCTTAGGATTCAGGTCTTCTCAGGATTTTGAGAATGGGGTAAAGGGCCTTGGGAGCATAGGCTTGACATGTAGTCCAATGATGTCTATCTCCAGTGAGAGACTTTATGTCACCATCCATAGTCTGTCCTCTAGATATTCTATAAGATAAAGAACACAAGGAATTTATTGATTCTGTTCTTCTCCAAGATAGTGGTTTTCCTTAAGCAATAGGAACATATCATTTAGGATGGCATGCCCTGCCTTCATATAGGGTAGGTTACTGGCTGATTATCATAAAATGTGTTAGGAATATTACCTCCTAATTCCCTGCTTTTTCAAATGGGATTTTAGCCTTAAGATGGAGTCCTTCCTGTTCTTACTACACTATTTATATCTTGGCATTTTTTAATCAAAGGCAGGAAAAAGTAATCATGATGTTTGTCCATGTCCTGCTCTACCTCAGAAGGACTTGTCCAGTTGTGTCCTGTTACAAAGTTGTATTGAACTTATGCAAATACATGTATTATCATGAAAAGTTCATAAAACTCTCTGAATTCTGGAGGGATCAGGTTAGGAGAAAAAGATTAAAAGTGTCAGCCTTTGTTACACAGATACACTTTACCAAACTGCTGTAAATAGCTTATAAATAGCTTAAAAGAGAGAAAGAAAAGGGGTCCTTTAAATCTGGAATGCAAAACAATAAAGAATGAGCAATATTTTAAAAGAAGTCCTAAAAATTATAATCATCTTCAATAGTTCATTCAGTATTATGTATTCCTTTTTTACTTCGTCTTGTGCTAACAGCTTTATGAATCAATAAGTTTTCCATTAGAAATCTAGAAATTCTTACCTGTTCAGTATTATAAGCTTTATGTTACCAGAAATCTACACTTTAGAGTTTTTGTCAGTTTTGAATTGCCCTGAAGTCGAAGCACTTTTCCTGTAGTTGATCGTAAATGCTTTCAGAGAAGAATCAAGAGTAAAACAAAAACTTAGTGAGTGACAGAAGACTCAAAAATAGCCATGGTTAAATATCTGGTAGGAGTTCACATATACACACACACAAAAAATGATGCAATTGAAAGGTCAATTTGGTTATTTTTGTGATATAAAATATTTCACAGTAATAGCTGGAATTATGACTGGTAACATTATACCAGGATATATCATATTTTTTTTAATTTCATATAATTTCTGAATTGCTTATTTAATGATATATGTACCATATAAATATGATCTAAGATGCTTAATCATTGCCTTTTATTTGATAATGTTTCTCATGCAATTTAATGTATAGATAGCATTTGTTTTTTATTCAGAATTTGATTTAGGGAAGTTTGTTTAAGATCTGTCAAAAAAGTTAAATACTTGATCAAATTGGATCTGTGAAACAATGCTTTGTTAGCTGTTTAACGAAATGACAGTTAAAAGATTTCAAAGGCAAATACAGAAAGTTATATACTTGTAAAAAAACCCTTAGTTCTTTTAATAGAGCAGAACCAGTTTGTTTGTTTGAAATCATCAAAGACCTGATAAGACAATGTGAAGTACAGGAAATTATTTTCATAAGACCTAGAATCTTTGTTTCTTAAGCAGATTACATTAAAGGTAAAGAAAAAACATTTGTTTATAATTTCTGATTAAGAGCAAACAAATAATATAAGAAAACTTTATCCTTTTAACACAGAGAATAAAATAAATTCTAATTTTGTACTGTACTTTTATACAAAACTCCTTTTTTCTTTTTTAAGTTAAATAAATCTATTCCAGTCAGCATGACCACATATAAAATTTCTTCTCAAAATTCCTTTTCACAAACCTTCTAAACTTTTTATAATATTTTAACTTTAGTCTTTTTTCCTTTCTTATTCTGAAACAGTCATTTTACTTTAGAACAAAATTACCTTCCTTTTTTCCTTGCCAAAAACAAAGGAAACAATAAAACAAAAACAAACAAAAAAAGTCCTTCATACCTTTCCTAATCCAAAAAAAAATTCTATTTTCCTTACTTTTCATACACAGTCATTTTCTTTCACCCTTATTATTTCTAGTAGTTTTAGTTACATGTATAAATTAGAATTCTTAACCCTTAGAATCCTTAATTTCCAATGAAAACTTAAGAAGTAAGCCAAGTGTGGGATGGCAAATTTATCATTTCTTGAGTATATTTGTCTTTGTAGTAAATTTTCAATGTTGCACAAAACATTTATTAATAGACCCCAATATCTTTTGTCTCTTGGTAAAAAAATTTGAAAGGCAAAATAGATAAACTTATGTTTAGCATTTAGTGTTTATCTTACTTGGAAATGATTTATTCAATGAATATCCATTATTTAGTTTAACTTGTATAAATTGTATCCTTTTTATTTTTATTTAAATTATTTGCTGTTTGGAGAAGACTAGAAGTCATATATACCATCTTCCTATGCTGATGGACAGTGACTGCAATGGGGTTTGGAGTAGGGGGTTGATAATATGGGTGAATGTTGTAACAACAGTGTTGCTCATGTGAAACTTCCGTAAGATTGTCTACCAATGATACCTTAATAAAATAAATAACATGTTTTTAACAATTATGCTTGGATTAGACATTAAACACTTAACCATCATCTTAAATTTCTTGTTGACAAATTTTGAAGACATTGGAGATAGCATGGAGTTTATTTGATTGGTAAACCCACCTAGGAAAAGTTGTATGTTTATGTTACACTTCATTATTCTGAAGACATGCCTGTTTTTATTAAACCAACAAATTTAAACTAGCTATTACACATCAAAGATTGTCTCAGATGATGTGAATTTGAAAGACATTTGGGTTAGTTTCTATATTTCCAAGAGCTTTAAGAATATCTAATTTATATAAGGGCTTGTTTTTCTTCAAGCCAATTAAATAGAGCTCTTTACAAATTAACTTTGGCAATACCATTGGAAGTAAAAAAAATCACATATCTGTAACATAAATCAGATGGACTGTTAAGGTTTCATGCTTAGATGGCCAAAGAGTTTTTACTAAAGATTTTTTACCTTCACATGCCATAAGGATCCTTTTAGAGCTGTTTTTGGAGTAATTTTGTCATAAGAAACTCTTCATACCAAAGAATGTATTCCATTGTCTCTGAGAAGTTTGGGATCCTCTCTTTTAAGGTATCCCATAATGTGAACTTATTAAGTTAAAGGCTCCCCAAAGTGACCACTACAATTCCAAAAGTTCATCAGTTTTTCCAAAAGGCACAAGATCCTGGGCCATAGACCAGGCAGAAACCATCTTTGCCTGTAGATGCCCTATGACATCCTAACTACAAAGGGCCTTGTTTTCTTGTTTCCAAAACACAGGGTATCATGTATTTCCTCCCACCTTTTGAACAGAGTAGGGTGACTTACCAATAAGCTTCACTAAATAAAATATGGTTATGCACAATAAAGTTGGAGAGCTCAAAATGCAAAGAGAGCAGAGCTCAGGTCCAGGAGAGACTTACTCTCAAATGCCAGGGTCAGCAAGGAAGTAGTGAACTCAGCAGGCTCTGTGGGCACCAGCTCCTGTTCAGCCTCAGAACCATTGAGGGGGTCTTGTTTGAATCTTACTTCTGACACCATGAAATGTCAAACATTCAGAAATAAGAGAAGTAAAACCAGTGAATCACCTAAGTAGTAATTAGTAAAAGTTTATTATGCACACACCAAAAAGACAATTTGTAAAGTGGGAGCCCTCGAACCGAAACATGGAATGAGGTTCAGGGACTGTTTATTCTTCACAATTGATTGTATTTTAGAAATGTCTGAAGTGATAGGGAATTGGTCAATGGTTACCTCATATCCACCTTAGAAAACACTTTAAGTTTTGCTTGTGACTTCCAGAGGCATAAGCAAGAAATGACCCAGGTCAGGTTAGTCTTGCATAATAAGCTAAATTAAGCTTTTCTTGCATAAACTGGTTTTGTCTGCTCGCAGAATTTTTAAAGTTAGTTTCACTTGTTTTGATTTTAACAAGTGTAAGAGAAAAAACAAATTTTATCAAAGCATCTCAAAACTCTGCATTAAAAGATGAAAGAATTGTCTTTCCTTCTCCAGCAAAGAGCAGCAAAAAAGCAATTTGGATGGAGGAAATACAGAAATCAAGGGAGAATGTATGACCGAGCTAGAACCTAGAGATTCCATAGTTAAACTGATTTATTTGTTCTACTATTAAGTACAATCTTAGTAAATTTTGTAGAAGGTGGGGAAGGGGTAAGGAGAAAGAGAGAGAGTGTGTGTTTCGGGGGGTATCAGAGAGACAATCTAAGAGGTAGACACAGGGAACAAACTCAGAAGAATTTGAGTTCCAAACAAGGAGATATTTGATTATCTCTCAAGTTTATGGTTGGACACTCACAATGGCTTTTGTTGCTTTGGAAACATATCACTTTCTTGCATCTGAATTTTTCTGAGAAAAACATCCACTAAATGTTACAATAGCCTCACAGGAACATTTTAATAGTTTCTGCTAAAAGTCTTTAAGAACTCTCAGAATAGAAGATGTAGTTTTGCAAAGGTGTTCTCAGCCTCTATCAGTCTTAATTTAACATTGAGAAGTTGATGGGTTCGTTATCAAACTGTCAGTTGTAGAGAATAGAAGGCGGCCAAGAATAATTCTTTAGAAACTGTTAGAATGCTAGCTATGTAATGACCAGAAAATTACAAGTGGACCTTCTTCAATGGCACTTCTAAAATATGGCTTCAATATGCCCAGTTTTATTTCACTACTTTAAACACTAACTAATCAGAAAAAATTTTCATGGTGTGAAACTGATAAAGTCTTTGAAGAAAATTCTCTTCCTGTGAAGAAACTTCTATTCATTTTATGTGTTGTGGGTTCCTCCCTTGATTTGACCATATCTGGATAATATGGCTTATCCATTACTATGGTAACTGCAAGCATCTAAGAGCCTCTGTGCCACACTAGGACCCCAAGTAGAACTTGACTTAGGAAAAAGGGGGGCGGAAAATTCCCTCACTGTGCTTGTTATAAAGACAAGAGTGTTTGCCCACAGCTTCATTTTTGTGAGCATCAGCAATTCTTGAATACATTGCTAGTACATAGATCTCAAGGTGAACGTAGCTGACCATCTCTTGGCTAATGCTATTGGAACTTTCAGTTCACTTGCTGATTCTAACTTATTCTTGGCTGAGAACTGAAAATTCTTTTGAAGAATGATTTATAGGAAGAGATTGATTCTAAAGAGGTAATTATAGGCTGTTTAATAATGATTGGTTGATTGAACCACAATCCTTTACTGACAGTAGTAGGTCTATCTTAGTATCTGGGATAGTGGAACTACTAACTGTAAATAGAATAATTAGATTCATTCATTGGTTTGCTGCTAAATTCCTATAGGAAAATAATAGGATACCCTTTAAAAATTGACACTTAAGGAGCCAATTAGGTAAACAATTTAATGATATGTTGTGATAAAGTACAGCAACTATAAAACTATTTTCTTTTTAACAGACTTTATAAGATAGTGTATAGTGGAAGCAAATGGAATGGGCTTTGATTTACAACACTAGAGAATGCCTTAAAGTGGATATTTTGACTAATTCATTTTTTAATATCTATTACATAATAAGTGACAGCAAACAGAAATATGTTTATTAACTCAAAATTCAAAAATATATTAATATTACTTTATAATTATCATGTTTCAGTACTACTAATAGAAAAGATAGCCAATAACTATTTCTAGTTTTCAAATCTCAAGTTTTCTGTTTTTTCTACTTAAGCTTCTAATAGGTTTTTAAAAATTTCCTGATTTAGCTTGCAGTTCATATTTAGACAACAGTATACCAAAATTAAAACACCAGAGCATTTACAAAAGAAAACCAATGTTTTAAATGTTATGAAACAGTTTGCAGTTGCTTTTTATTTGCCATGTAAATATAAAATCAATTAGATCTTTCCCAAATTTGGAAATGTTCTTGCCCTTAAAGACAGCTCTCAAAAATAGTAATTCTGAGGTTAAGTCATCTGTAGCAGCCAAAGAATGTCAGTGGAGTTGAGCCACCGCTGTGCTACTCTTGCTGTGATTAAGTACCTCGGACTTTACCTTGAAGTGCTTGCTTATTTCTTGGCATTTAGCCTTCAGAGTAGTGTTACATGTGACATTTATGGAAAGACTCTAGAGTCTCATTTCCACTCTAAATTCTTCAAGTGTTAATTCCTTTGAAGCTTTAAGTGTCTCAGTGAAATAAACTTGTTTTACATCTACATTTTAGTAGTGGATAAACAGATAAATATTTCACCAATCTTTCCATAGGTACAATTATGAGAAGTGCCATAAAGGGAACAAATATCACAGGATGCCTTAGCACTGTCAGAGGGGTGGGAATCTCTAGGAGAAAGACAGGTGGAGGGAAGGGGAACATCTCAGGGAAAGCAACCAGAAAGGTCTCAGGATTTATTCTTTAGGATGTTTCCTGAACAAAACTATAGGCCACAAATGTAATTGTAAAGGATTTCAATTTATGTAGATTATTTCATGATACTTTTAAAGTTAAGGTTATGGACATACTAGAACTTCTTAAATATCTTTTCATAATCCTTCTTCCTACCCAATCTCACGGATTGACCCAGCTATTACAAAGTGTTTACAAGCAGGGAATAGACCTGATGGTTGTTCATGAGCTAATTATTCATGAAAAATTCAGAGGTGGGTATACTTCAAATCAAGATCTGCCGATCATCTGCCTGCCTTGTTTGCTTCCATGTCAGAATCACACGGGCTATACTCCCAGTTCCTGAACACCTGCAAAAAATAGAAGAGCTTACTGTTAAGTTTTTTATCATCATAGACCTTTTAAAGCTTCCAATAGCTGATGTATTTTATGTGATAATGTCAAAATATAGTAGCTTGGCACTAAAAACTCTTTACAGTCAATGTGATCTCCAACCTGCATTTCCAGCATGTCACCTACTGCTTCCCAACACAGATTTTATGCCTTGGCCAAAACAGTTCACGTACTTTTCTTCCAATGTACCTGAAGTTACCTTACCTCTAGGAAATTCCATCCTTCCAGGTAAAATGACCCTGCAATTTCTCTTCTTCAAAAGCCTGCCTACTCAGTTTTCATAACATCATCTCTGGTCACCTCACTAGATGCTTTTATATGAGTTCCAATTTTAGAAATCACACAAGTTCTCTAATACCATTCCATATTCCTGGACGCGCATCTGCTTGATAGCAGTTGCAAAAGTGTGATTGCTTTTCTTGTGTTCAATTTCATGTGCACTTTCTTATCTTCCTTTTGTGCATAGGTTCCGTTCTTGCAACAGATTTCTGTTGTCCTATATTCTAGGTATCCTTTTTATGTTTCAAATTCAACTTTCTAGTTTATACTTAAACCAGGGTGTTTTGACTTAAAGTCAGGATACTTGCCCGTATTCACTGTCTAATAAATGCGTGTTGCTGGACTGATGAAAAAGAACAGACAATAACCACAAGCAAGCAAAAGAGCTGCTGCATCATCGCCAGAACTTTCTGACTCCCTTGATTAATATACAGTGGGTACAATTCTATAACAGATCAATTGCTTCCAATCGTGAAGAAGTTAAAATACTCTCAGAATTTAGAAGCTGTACTTGAATCATAATGAAGTTTCTTAGTTCTGTGCCAAGACCATAGATTGAATGTCTATTATTATTTAGCTAGCCTTATTTATTTAGGGGTAATCATTTCCTGATACTGTGTAGAACATTGAGTTGGAATGGATACAATTCTACCCTAGAGTCTATATCTTAGTAGTAGATATAAGTAGCTCAAGATTCCATATTGTATGCGGGTATATGTGAGCTAAGAAAATAAGCACTCGTCAGTTTTAAGGATCTCAAAATGAATCATGCTGAATTTAAAAGTCTACTTTTTACTGTTTTCATTGTGATTGGTTTTCATGGGAAGGCAAATTATAGGACTATTTGCTAAATACAGTTACTTCTTTTCTCTTAAGCTAGTAATAAAGAAAAAAATATAAAGAAAATGACTTATCAGAAAGTCCTTCAATTTCCATTGATGGCTGATTGAGCAAATTAAGGTTCATCTATGCGATATAATACATATAGCCATAAAAAAGCAGAAATACATTATTTCTCTATATACTGATACAGAGAGATCTCCAAAATATATGAAGTGACAAGCAAGCTGCAGATCAGTATGCGTGATATGCTACTATCTGTATAAATATAAATAAAAAGGAATATGGGTAAATCTACAAATACAGAGGATATATCAGAACATATACATAGCATATAACAGGAATATTATGTTAAGGTCTGATTATACTGATGACTTTGGAGGGACAGGGGAGATGATTAAAATGAAAAAATGCAAGGGAAATTTTTCACTCGTTACACTTTGTATTTTCTTTTCAATTTTTATGTGACTTAACTATTAAAAAAAAATGAGATTCAGAAATTTTCATTTAAGTAATTTACCCTGTGGGATAATCATAGAAATGTAGAAGTATATTTATTACAGTGTTATTTTAATGAGAAGACATTAAAAATGACAAATGATAAAAAATAGTTAACTATTTTATTCATTCATTCTTTAAAAATAATGGACAAATATATGGAAAATAAAAATAAGTAAAATAGAGTAAGAATCTATGTGATTTTTAGATAGAGCAGAAAATAAAATTTGGCATTGATTTCTCTTTTTTAATGAGGAGAGTCTTCCAAATTCAGCAAATAATTATTATTGAATGGTAGGTTTTCCTTTTTCTACTTTTCTGTATTTTCTAAATTTTCTGCATAAATTATACATTCAGAAAAAAGTTATCTGAAACCAAGGGAACAATGAATTCTGTGAAAAATGTAAAGACAACTAGTAAGGTGGACTTGAATTTTAATAACATTTTTTAACTTACTATTTTCGCTCGTTTGAAGGGCAATTATTGAGAACCCACAGGGCCCAGCACAGGGATATAGCAGTACCCACAAATAAATCCCTTCTTTGTGAAGCTCACTCTCTGACCCCAAGAGACATAAAAAGAAACATCCAGTATCTTGGGAAGCGATAGGCTCTCTGGAGACAAATGAAGCAGGACACAGGGCTAGTCGTTACATTGATGACACACTTTAAATTAAAAGCACAATTTGAAATAGAAGCTGTGACAGCAAAGCAACGTTTCTCATTACCCATGTGAAAAGATATGTTAATATTCCAACTATTACATATGATGTTTGCTACAGATTGTAGAAACTTTGTAGTGGTTATACAGTATCCCTTATATTTGCAGTGTTCTGAGTTGTTACCATGAATAAATTTTGAATTTTATCAAATTCTTTTTTATGTATTTATTGAGCTAATATTTTTCTTCTTCATTCTGTCAACGTGGTGAAATACATTAAACAATGTTGAGGCTACAACACGGTATTCCTGCATTAAACCCACTTAGTTTGTATTTATTACATAAATTTATATTAGTATGTGTACTTATAAATGCAAATTTATTTTTATATTCATGTAAAGCTCTATGTGTCATTTATATAAATACACATGCTTATATTTTAATTTTAAAATATATTTATATTTGGTGGGAAAAATTTGAGTACAATTGCTATTATTTCTTCCTTAAATGTTTGGAAGAATTCATAGCACCATTTATAAAGTAGTCTTGACCCCCACCCCCAAAATTTAAGTGGAATCTATCCAAACCTCTAATTCTAGCTATCTGTTCACAGAAAATCTGGGAGAGTTAGGAACAAGTTCAATTACACATAAAGAAGTAATCAGCCAAATATAAATAACAGAAGTTTTGCAGGCTAAATGACCTGTTTTCTTCATCAAATTAAATAGTGAAAAATTGAAATCTTGCTATCACAGCTTCTATTTCAAATTGTACTTTCTGTACTTTCTACCCCCTATTAAAAATAGAGAGAAATGAAAGGACTAGTTGTTACAAATGCAAGTATAGATAACTTTTGGGTTTTAATCTGAACAAATCAGAAGAAGAAGACATTTTGAGACAATGTGGAAACTTGAATATAAACTGGATAGTGGAAGATATTAAGAGATTGTGATTAAATTTCTTAGGCATATTAAAGGTACTATAGTTTTAAAAAATGATTGTCTTTTAGAGATATATATTGAAGGATTTCAAGAGAAATTATATGATTTGGGGGATTAAAAAACTTCAAAGAAAAAGTAAAATAAAAAGCGAGCGGGAGTGGAATAGATGAACCAAAATTACAAGATTTGTTAAAACAAGATTATGTGTAGGTTCAGTATACTCTTCTGTTTCATTTTTGTGCATATTGAAAACGTCTGTTGTAAAGAGTTAAATTTTTTATATAAAACAGAATAAAAAGGTATTGTTAGCTCACAAATGTAGTCTTTGCTACAGTATTAATTCTGCTGTTGCCATAAGCTAATTTACCTTGTTCTTCCTTTCTATGCAAGTTTAACTTTGAATGTTCAGAATTGCTACATATTTTACTCGCTACTTTCAAATGACATTTTAAGCACATTTTGAAGCAGATATCAATTATCTCATCTTGTAAGAGAAGAAAATAAATGTTTAAACTGAATGAGCAAAATCATGGCAGTTTTAAAAAATATTTATTTTTGAACATGAGATGATCGTTAACCAGTAACAATTCCCTGCAGAAAACAGGAACAAAGATCGTCCTTTCTCTCTCTTCTTCCTGCTTTACAATCTCTCTCTCTCTCTCTCTCTCTTTTGTGACTACTATCTCTCTTTAATGAAAGATTCTAATTAGAAATCATGTGGCAAAGGAGAAATAAAGTTCCGAGGTCCAAACCCAGTTTCACCACATATGAGTAAATTTGGGACTGTAACAATAATCACTGCCAAGCAGTGTATCTGTTTTTTTATGCACTGAAGTTTCATCCAGTATTATTGTTTTGTTTCTCATCAAACAATGTAAATTATATAGAATAATGACTAATAATATAGACTTAGAAAGCTGCTACATCCTAACTTGCATTTGGGTAAATTACTGGCTCTCTGCAAGACACAATCTCTTCAGGCACATCAAGGGAATAATAATCATACCTACTTTCTAAGGTTGTGGTGAAGAAACAGTGAAGTAACATGAGTAGCCCGATCATATAATACCTGGTTAATAAATGTGAGCTCCTGTACCACTTTTATAATTATCATCTTGCTGTTATGATCATCATTGTGATTCGTATTTTTAATGTAAAAATACACCCAAAGTTTAGTTTAAAAAATTTAAAGCATGAATATTTTGATAATTAGTAACTAATTTGACTATTTTTAATCTTATCATTCACACATTCATTTTACAGGTGACAACCTTTAATATATTGCATTTAATAATCAGAATATTACTAAGGAATGAAAATAATTAATGTCTTCAGCCTGAGCTAACCCAATGGAGCTTGGAAAATCCAGAGATATGAAAGAGATTTTCCTCCGCAGGGAAGGAGATAAACAGATTTTAGTTAGGTACATCAGGTCAGATGTACATATCTACTTCAAATATTATTATTTCATTCAGTATGTTTAGGCCAATCAAGCAACCCTCAGAAACACACTTGGGATGGGGGATACTCACTTGAAATGTCCTCATATTTATTCTGGAGTTTACAAAAGAATTCTTAGCTGTGTGTCATTCAATAGTGTTAGTTAATGTTAAGTTAACTTCAAGCATCAGCTGATAAACCATCATATTATAGTGAAGCATAAATAAAAATGCTGAGAAGTGCCTCTGTGAGCAGATTACCGTCTCAGGGAGGACGTGCAGCTATTCATTGTTTTATCTTTATGGTGAATGTAAAGCCACCTCATTATTGTTTAATAGGGTGAAATGTTTATGTTGGCTTTGTTTCTGATCTCACTATCTTCAATTACTTTGATTTCCCAAGGAACTCAAACCCATCATAAAGCAAGTTTCCCTAAAAATTTTATTCTAAAATGCATGATGCAATTGACTTAAATTTTAGACGTCTTCAGGACATATTTATCTAGTGAATCTCTTCAACCTTACAGGACAATCAAAACATTTTTATTATAGTGACTTTTATGTAATATGGTTAAAGAATAGTCTAGTAAAACAACTATTCTAAGTAAAAATTAACTTTATTAGGCCACAATATAAACTACATAAATTTTCCAGGCCTCTTTATGTACTCAGTGTATTCTAGCAATACTTATTGTGAAGTAAATATTAGAATGGACATTAATCATATTTGTCCAAAGGGTTTTCCCCATCTGTGCTACTAGTATGGTTTTGGACCCCCTATTTAACCCTGTGATACTGTACATAAGCTAGAAGTTTCTGTTCAATATACTGAAAAATTCAACTGAATTTTTTTTTTCTGCCAAGGGGCATTTGACATCTGCCCTCTGCCTTCTTGAAGCCCTTATTACTTCGTTTGGACTATTTCCAGAACGTTTGAATGTTTGTCTTGCCGGGATCCTGCTTCCCTCCAAGCCATCCTCAACAATTCTGCCTTATAAATCCCAACTATTTTTTTGGCTCAAATTGTTTCAGTGGTTCCGTATCACTGTCAGAATTCATTCCAGACCTTACTGTGATGTACTGTGCCTACCACTCTCATCTTGAGCTCTAACCCAAGTGTCAGAGGAAGCTTAAATTTCAGTTCAATCGTTTGTTATCTGGGTCACTTCTGGCAAGTCATTTAATTTCTGTGGGCCTCAATTTTCTCAGCTGTAGAATGTTAGAAATAATAGTACTGTTACTGAGAAAGGTGTATTAAATGAATTCACATATGTAAAATCCTTAGAACAAACAGTGACACAAAGTAGAAACTATGTCATTTCATCTATTATTACTTTGTTTTTGCTGGGTTTTTTTCCTATGACTGCCCTGTCAAGGACATTACAAACATGTCATGCTGCCGCCATAATGATTTGATCATACCTGGAAGTCCTACTTGCTCTCCAGGATCTATTTCAGTTTTCAGTTTTGTGACCACCCCCCGTATAGGTTACCTGCTTGTCCTAGATGCCACCCAAGTACTTCTTTATATGCATAAAAGTTAACCTTTTTGACTGTCTTCCCTACAAAGTTATAGTAGTTTAAAGGCAGGAATCTGTTGTTTGGGATTTTTAAAAAAAATCTGTGTACCTCTAACAAAACAGAGGTCACCATATATTAGGTACTTGATAAATAATTGAATAACCTGTTTTTGCAAAAAACGTGAAGAAGAGGCAGAGAGGAAGGTTCTCTTCAAATGGATTTTCTTCTTTGTTAAAACATGAAGGAGATGGATAGTAATCCCACCAGAGGCGCTGAGGATTTAATAATATCTGTTGAACCACTGTGTTGTATATTTGAAACCAACGTAAGACTGTATATCAATAATAATACTTTAATAAAAAATTGAAGGAAATTACCATCTCCAACTCTAGGATGCTATTATTATTGATGTTTTTTTCTGTACACTTAAAGAGAAAATAACCCAATACACAGAAGCTACCTTTCCTGCTACTAACAGATTAGTAGCATCAACTCCAGGTCATTGACAAGCTTTTGTATTTTCTAATGGAAACGCTATTTATTTATAGGAGTTATAAGAAAATCTTCTCAAAGCAAAATAATTTTTAGTCCAGAAAGTTAAAAATATTGCAAATATTAAACTGAAATAATGTATACTGTTAACCAATTCTAGCCAGTTAGTATACTGCCCATATAATCAGGAACTGCTTTTCTGAAATTTTAAAAGCACTATTTCCTATTTTATAAGTAAGCCTCTTACTTTTTCATTGATTTCCACTACAGTGAGAAGAGCAGTGGTCCAGAAACAACCACGAGTTACATTATCTAATTTAATTAAGGTGAACTGGAAATCTCTCTAAAGATTCAACAGTCACCAGACAAACTAAAAATGAAACTTTAAACTAGCTTTGTAGTGGGCATAAGCTCCTGCCATTTGCCATCATTACCTCATGCTATGTGCCTTTACAGGGGCTTATGAATAATTCCACAGACACCGTAACACTGGAGTTCCATAAGCAAAGCAGGTGTTTCCAAATGTTAGTCTGCTACTTAGTCCCCAACAATCGTAGGAGAAAATCCTTCTCTCTAATTGTATGAACCCTACCTCTGATTGTGTGGCACTCAAGTCTGTAAAAACTATTTTAGTATACCAACATAATTTCATTTGATCCAAGCATCTGTAAACTCACCTTACCCCAGGGGTTCCTGGCCAGAGGATGCAATGTGTTTCCATCAATAGAACTTTGATTTAAGTAGCTTTCTGGGAAAAGATGAGGTCCTGGGGCAAGGAAAAAGGCTAAGGCTGTAAGAAAACACCAAGGATTAACTCAGTTCCTTCAAGTGCACTGTAGCAAGTTGGCACACCTGGGAAATCCTAACAAATGGGAAGTGAGGAGTTGACTGACGGACTGACTAAATGATGAGATTTCGTTCTAGATTTTTATCTTAGTGTAACAGACACCCATCTTTCTAACAGAGATAAAACATTGTGAAAACAGTTCCAAGTTGATGTTGATATCAGCTACTAAATGCTGAATTCTTACCAATTATCTACTTTGTATTACTTAGATAGAACAAATATTCAATATTCAATATGAATGTTTTAGGTCCCTCACATTTTACCCTAATTTCCTATAGATTTTTCTTTCTTATTCATTTTTCTTTAAATTAATGTTTCCGTTCATTTCTTGTACAACTCCATGCAAAAGGGCCTAATAACTTCAGTATCTTTCATTATTATAAGCCTTTTCCTGGAAAGAATAAAATGAGTACTGTGATTTTACATTATGCTGAATAAAAATAATTTTCCATTTGCTGATTTTTGAATAAATAGGAGTCAGCTAAATTGATTAGAATATGGTACTAATGAGGTTAAAATTGCAGGTTTGACTCCCATATAGGGTAATTAGTGTTATGTGGAAGAAAGCTATTCAAAAGCCGTAATTTTGATTCCCAATGAAATTCTTGTGAAAGGAGAACTAGGATATGAATTGTAAAGGGCTCATGGCAAATTGTGCTTCCTTGGGTAAAAAAAAAGGGCAGATGCAAAAATTTTGAATAATTTAGTGTGGGTAGTTTGTCAATTGGCCATCTCATATAAGGCTACATATCACCATTTAAATGGGCACTTAAGTGACTCAACTCATTTCTCCTTTAGTTCTGTACCATTGGAAATAGAATCCTTGGGAATACCAAGCCCAGATCAGAGCTGCAGAATGCAAAGAATAATTGAGAAATTATCCCTGCTAGAGCAATTATTAAGAATATAATTTAATTACTGTAAGTAATTAAACTGAGTAATATATCAAACTGAGTAATATAAACTTGAAAAATATTCATATTTTTATTAGATACATCTTCTAAGATAAGCAATTATATTAAGTTTAATTTTACCCTGTTTTTTTTCCGATATGGCAAATCTTAGCTAATCAGCATTGATATTGTGAGTATATTTTATATATGCCATGTTTTCTGCATGTTAGCTGTTGGGATATTAAAATTGAAATTGAAAGACCCAACCTAATTTTAGGTTTGCTGGTTATATTAAATTCATCTTCATTTATTTGCTTTTTTAAAATTAAAAACTAGAGTTTTATTTTAACATAAATATATGGTCATCATAGGGAATTTGGAAAACATTTAAGAGTTCAAATGAAATGAACATACAAAGTACTCATAATTCCAGCCAATAATCATGCCTTGTATTTTCTTTTGTTTCTTTTCTTTTTATAAGAAATTGAATTAACATGAAAAATAGAATCAAATATATATATGCAAAATTGTAGACTGTTTTTTTTCCCCACTTTCCTATGGGTTGCTCTTCAGAATACTACTTTAGTGACTGTATATATCCTTCTCATGACTGTATATAGCCTTCACTTGCCAATGGGTTTCAGGCCTGGGCAAGTTCGCTATGGATTCAGTGTAACCAAAGAAATTGACAGCAAAACGTTCTTGGGGTGAAAGTGTTGTACCCAACTTTATTTCCAGGTGGCAGGTCAGTCACTAAAATCCCATTCACTCAGAGGGAGTTTGCATGCAGCAAGCCGGTCTCTGCCTCTGGGCCCCTCTGTCTGCACAGCCATCCTCTGGGCCTCTGTCCTCGGCACTGCCACCACTCCAGCCTCTGCTCTGCTCTCCTGCAGCCTTGCAGCCCTGCTACCACGTCGTGCCCAGAGCACTGGGCGGAGCTCTTTATATAGAGTCAACAGCCTCGTATTGCCCACAGGTGTGCAGTGAGCTAGTCAGCCATGGCCAGGTGAGAATCCTGGCCACAGGAACTCTCATTTTATCCACAATCCTGTTTTAGGCATATGTTGTCATTTGTTTACTTATTACCCAATCTTTGAATATATGGTGTTTTTTAAAATTTCTTTCATTAGTAGAAATAATGCTGCTGTGAACATCTTTGTCTCCAAATCTGTCCAATCTGTACACATGAGTGTCTACCTTGGTTTTTTATATTGTCTTAAGACCAAGGTTGTTGAGTAGAAAGGTTTAAATATTTTTAAGTATTTGATCACAAACTGCCAAATCTCTTCTCCTCCACAAATTGCCCTAATTTATTGAACCACCATCAGAAAACAAGGACACTCACTTGTTCACAGTATTACCACATTATCACTTAAAAAAATCACAATTGTTAAAATTTTATGTTGTTAAATAAATTGTTAAAATTTATAACACCCTTTAATTTCTAGGCTGACTTATGTTTTAAAAGACATCTAATTCATGTGTATTTATTTCATTACACCAAAATCATGGAGATATTTTGTAGAAAGACCTCTTCTAGCCACAAAGTAACATTGGGTTTTTGTAAATTGATGAATACAAATTATCAACATAAGATAGCTATGCATATCTATATAAATTTAAAATTATTTAAGTGTTGACCAAAATATATTAAGGATTATTAATTTGGCCATTGCACCACAGATAAAGAGAGATTGTAATGTCATTTAATCTGCCATAAGATTTCTAGAACAGAAATGACAATCTAACATTTATGAGATAAGATTCAGGTATTTTCACTAAAGATTAGAGTCATTAAATACATTAAGTACTCTACCTCTTGGAGGACAGGTTTGAGAAATCTATTAAGATTATCTGAGGGGGCAAACTCCATGGACAAATTCCTCCCCTGTGACAGTTTGCCATCACAGACATGATGCTCAGGCCTGCCTCTTTTCCCAGTTTTGTTCATTTATGGTTAACATCATACACCATTAAAAATCCTTAATTAAATTGCTCTAGAATTTTCCAGACTTCTCTGGAAAGTTCTATGTTGAGCTAAGTTTTCAATGTTCAATGTTGAGATAATTTTCCACCAAAGACATATTTAATCAGAAGGAAGGAAGATTACCCAGTAATGTGTTTCCCAGTGTTCCTTGTGTGTTAAATTCACAAATTAAAATTAAAATTAAACCTAAACGGTTTTTAAGAATCTAAAATAGAAAATCATAGTGCACCTTAAAAAGAACAGATTAAGTCTTTACCTGATCATCCTGAGTTCAAAATGGAATACTTCCATCAATAGCTACTAATGCAAGATTTGTTATGGCTTCCACTGTTTTTCAAATTAAAGACTGAGTTTCCTTTATCAAGAATGGAAGTCACCAAAGTCCTTCAAGACTGTATAGTAAATACGAAAGTACTTTTAAGTAGGAAAAAAATGTACAAGTGCTTTAGAGAGAATTTCAGTGTAGGCTTAGCCCAGAGCGCACTAGTAAACCAGAGGTATTCAAGTGGGTGAATCCTTGGCCCTTCCTTCCTTTAGATGCCATTGAATATCCACAATTCCCCACCAAAATCGACTGCTGCCCCATGAACGCCCATACGCCGTGCCGCTTCTATTTCCCCACCAGTCTCAATCCTATCCCAGTCTAATCTCACTCATAGTTCCATGCTTCTAAAACTGAAATTATCTTAGATTTTTAGAAAGCACATCTAAATTCTAAAAGAATGACTTCTGTGGTTGAAATTATAATGTCATAGTCAAAGAAATATTTTGGACCAATGCATCAAATCATACCTAGTACAAAAGGATGCGTAAGTGACAAGTCATTATCCCACTCTTGTCCCCCAGTCATTCATAATCCCACCTCTAGAACAACCACTATTATAAGTTTCTTGTGTATCCTTCCAGAAATACTCTATTCATTTGTAAGCATTTATGTGAATTCCTTATATTATTTTACAGAAATGAGACCAATATATCCACAATATTCTGTAATTTGTTAATTTAAAATAGAATAGTATCCCAACTTTTTAATTTTATTACATATAAAACTGCCTCATTCTTTTTTATGGCTTCACTGTCCACTGGATGGATGCAGCACCATTTTTATTTAATCAGTCACTTTTATTGGGTATTTAAGGTGTTTCAAACTTTTATCAATAGTACTGCAATGACTGCTCTTGTATATATGTAGAATTTTCTTTATCATAGGATATGAATATTTAAAAAATTTTACTATATAATGCCAAATTGCCCTCCATAGAGATTCTACCAATAGATTTCTAATCAAAGTTTATGTACCTGTACCAACTGAGCACATTAAACATTTTTATTTTTGCCAATGAGAAACAAAAATTATATCTTATATTTAAAGATCAAGATATATGCATAGCAGGGTAACCGCTGTTTATGATTTCTTTATAACATGACAATATTGCCTCAATATTTTTTTCTCCAGGATATATAATTTTTTTCCCAATGATTATAAACTGCTACATTAATCCATTTCATAGATAGTTAATTAGTAAGTCTGTTAGAACCTCTAAATGTTACATAAAATGTCTACTTAGTTTAACTTTTTAGCAGAATAATAGAACTTTAATTTATTAAACTACATTTTTAGAGAGACTCTGCTGGGGTTTTCAGTTTTTAAAATAGATTATTTTTCAAAATTCATATTATGCCTTCTGGATAAAACTTTTTAACGACCATTTTTTTCCACCTGGGGGACAAGTTTATACACAATCCTCTAAATGGTTGAACAAAACAGCCACATATAATGATATTTTTTCAAACCAAATAATATAAAAGAGCAATTTCATTTATTTTATGTACCCAAATCTTATATTTTTTAAGTACATGGCCAAAAATCCCACTTATGTGAAAACTGGTGTTTGCCTGATTTATATTTTGTTTTTTATTGACTCTGTTCCTAGCAGAATATATCCTAGTAAGAGTACAAATTATCGCAAAACTTTTAAAGAAACATTCAAACCACATTATAACTAACCTAACTCAAAACATAATATGATGGTTTCATTTCTAGAGGGAAATCATCTGACAGCCTTCATCTGCAAAATTTTCTTCTATACTTAATCACTTAATTCTCAGGACCAGCTGGAGTATCTTCTGCAAATTAGTTGCTCCTCAATCACATACTGCAGTTAGTATACTTTATAGCACAGGTTCTATGCCTGTTATGGCATCATTGGCTTTTTATTACAGCAGGACTAAGCTGCGGTGAACCATTGGGAGATTTCTCGCTTGACAAATATCTTAATATTATGGATATAAAAGTACTCCTACCTTGGGCAACCAAGCTATGCTTCTCTGAAGTGTTCAGTTAAGGCCTAAATACTGAACTGTGCATCATAGGCAAATAATTAGAAGGTTAACTGATGGTCATTATCTATTTCTTTTCTTTCCCTTGACTTTTTTAAACATGAACTTGTACAGTACACAGTCCTAAAGGATTCCAGTATAAACACATTTAGCTTAAATTTCTTTATTTCTGTCAAAAATAAAAATCTATTAAAAAACTAGCTAATATAAACTCATTTAATTTTCCAATTATTTAATATTCAGCTATTTCATTTCTTAGATTGTTTAATTTCTAAAAATTAGCTTGGCTTTTTAAATGTAAGGAAATGGTCCAAAATGGATGTTTTTGATGCTTATCTATTGAATTTTATTTTTATAATGAATTCATTTAACATTTTCTCCATTATAAAAGCAAAACATATTATGACAAATTTGAGAAAAATACACTAAACTTAGAAGAGAGGGAAATCCCTTATTTTCTCCCCTCTTAAAAATCACCACTCTTAATATTTTGATGTATTTTATTTCAGTCTTTTTCTATTCATTGGGTTATTGTTACCTTTTGATTTTGTTATATACACAAGTTCATATTGGCTTTTTAAACTTAATATTTTAATATTTATCATATTATAAATATTCCTAATTTTATTTGAATGGGCATACAATATAAATCATCTGAAAATGTAGTTTCAACTAATTGGATACCATTCATTTTTACTTGAGGGATATATTACAGACCTGTTAGACTGTTAGAGTTCAAAAAACATTTTCTCTAAAGTACTGGGTAGTAATTTTGAGGTTTGAAGGCTATAAAGTCTTTCACATTAGCTCAACTTTGCCATTTTAGCATGAAAGCGGACATAGACAGTATATAAAGAAGCCAAGGGCCTCATTTAGCCTATGAGTTGTAGTTTACCTAGTTTCAAGCCATTAGACAAACTCAGTAAACAGAAGTTGACATACTCATGTTTATAAAAAGAAATTGAGCTCTTAAGTCTCTATAAGTATGTATTGTGTTATAATGGATCACTGTGTCACACACAGAGTGTGTGTGTGTGTCTGTCTTATAGACACAAGTACCCAAGAATTCAGGCACACACGCGGGCACATGCAAACATTTGCATTTTTATCTTTATGGCTCTTCCAATAAAGTACTATGATGTGGCCAGTTTAGGTCTTGAAACTGAGTATTTTGGCTGCATCACTTCATTTCATATTTTATCATTGTCTTCTTTTTTTTACTGTCTATAAAAACCATTCATGGTCTTTGTATATTTTAGAAAACAAAATAAAGAAAATCCAAATTACCAATTTATCTACCATGTACATAATCATTATTAACAATTTTATTTCATTCCAAAATTTTTTTCTATGAATATATATTTCAATGCATTTTATTTTATTTAAAATTTGCCTCTAACTATATATTCAGTTGCACATAGTATTTCTCGAGGTCCATATCATTTAAATCTTTCTCGGGGAGTTGTATTAATAATTTTACTCTGGACAAGGTTCCTTTGGCGTTTCATGTTTGTATATCGCGCCCTCTAGTGTCCAGAAGCTCTATTCTGGAGCTGCTGAGCCCCTGAAGCAATTCGGGGGTCGCAGGGGAGCGGTACTTGTGCCTGGGGGGAGGAAAGAGCTGTTCCCCGCCTCCCAGCTGCTGTGCCTGTGTCCACTGCCTGAGCCAGTGGGCCGGGGACACAGGTGTAAGTTTTTGTCCCAGAGCAGCCGGATATGGATCCCTGCTTTCCACAAGCGGCCGGAATCCCAGTCTCCCCAGGAACTCTGCCTGTATTAACTTTCCAACCCGGTAGTCATGCGAGTCTCATGAAAAGTACCATGAAATGTAGGTTTGTGCTCCCAGCGCAGATCTCAGGAGCCACGTATTCAGCAGTCCCAGGCCTTCCATTCCCTCCCTGCTCTGTTTCTCTTCCTCCCGCCGGTGAGCTGGGGTGGGGGAGGGGCTCGGGTCGCGGAGCCCCAGCTCTGGTGCGTCACCCCGTTCAGGGAGGTCTGCTCTTTTCTCCCGGTGTGTGCAGGCTGGCGCCGCCCTCTTCCTGTTGCTCTCTCAGGATTAGTTGCGCCAACTATATTTTCTAATTGTATCCAGCTTTAGGAGGAAGCCTCTGTCTCTCCTCTCACGCCGCCCTCTTTAATCCTCTCCCTGGTCTCTATCCCTGCCCACGGTCTGGTTGGCCAGCTGGCGGTGCGATTGAACTGCTTCGTCATCGTGGCCCCGCTGCCGCGCTGGCCGTGAGCTGGGGAAGGACGGGGCTGCCCGGAGCCCGCCGCTGCCTTACATGGCCCCGAGCGGAGCTTCCCGGGCGACAGCGGCGGCGCTGCGGGGCCTCGGGAGCCATCTCTGCACATTGTATTTCTAAATGATATATAAAGAATATTTCTGTAATTTCTTCTCATATATTTAATATTTGGATTTTTCAACATCTTATGAATTTATCATAATTTATTTAATCATATCCTTGATGTGATGTTTACATGCCTTCCACTATTTTTTTACCCATTTCTGATTTATTTTGGGGAAACTGTGAAGTTACTATACTCAATAGTGGAGAAAGGCTAATAAATTTATGATCACTTCCCAGGCTAAAACTGAAGATCATATTTTGTCATTTAGTTATAAAAGATTAACTTATTTGGATGAGTTTGACTAGTAAATTAATTAACTTCCTTTCTATAAAACACAAATAAGAGAATTTTATTTCCAAACACAAATGTATTCATCAAAACACTCAAGTTTGACCCCCATATTTCATGATACTTTATAGCACAATACTAATTATAATAGACTACATTTGTATACAGTTTTTAAAATATTTTTCATTCATAATCCTATCCTGTCCCCATACAACCTTATGCTTTTCATTTCTAAGAATTGAAGAAATCAAGGCATTATAAGGTCAAGTGGCTTTCAGAATTAGTGGCCTCGGTACTGACAATACCAGATTCAGAATCTGAAGGGTGCCCACTCTAACTATGCTTTTTCTTTAATTGAAGTATCACTGCTATACAATCTTATAGTGGTTTCAAGTACACAGCACAGTGATTCAACAGTTACCCCTATTATTAAATCCTAACCCCAGCTAATGCAGTTACTGTCTGTCAACATAGGAACATGTTACAGAATTATTGGCTGTATTCTCCATGTTGTACTGGTGACCAACTTACATTATGATTGAGAAGTAAATAATACTTTTAAAGATACTTGTTTGTGTTCAGTTTTTCCCAGAATTGTTTGTAAAAAGAAAGCAATTTGAGAAATTGTTCTTTTTTGATTTTGGTTAAGGAGGAAATTGGGTAAATACTAAAGGTAACATTAAGTCAGATATTAGGTTAAAAGAGAAAAGGCATGTTGCAAAACACTAGCTAACCATTGGCAAATGGGTCATACATACTAGATAACATTGCCAGACTGGTCATACATACTGGTTTAGGTTAGGAGCAGCCAGCACAAAAAGTAAACATGATCTCTCACCTGTGCTTACGCTTCAAGCCACCCTACTACTCTGTTCCCTAAGTCCAAACCTGATCTAGCTCCTGCCTGTGTCTCTAATCCCATTTGACCCACTCACTGCCCTTTCACTGCTCTTCAAGCCCTCTGAGCTGGCCTCCACTCTGTTCCAAGATTGCTGCAGTTGCTTTTGTTGTGTTTTCTAAATAGAAGTCCTCAAAGTCCTAGGTCTCCTGTTTTCCAGCTTTGCGCTCTGGCCTCTTCAATCTGCTTCTCTCTGACCCCTTTTATGCTACAATTTTCAAAGGGTTGTCTACCCTCCCTGTCATCTCCCTGTGTATCTTGACCCCATTTCGGTCGGATTTTTCCTTTCCTACCACTCCACTTAATCAATGTCTTCTGTGAGCTCCACCTCCTTGAAACCCATGTCATTTCTCAGGTGTCACAGTACTTGACCTGTCCACAGGATTTGCACATTGATCACCTGATCGTTATTGAACAGATCCTTTACCTAGCCCCCCAGGGCACATTCCCTCCTGGTTTTCCTCCTATTTCACTGGCTATGCCTTCTCAGTTTTTATTACTCCTTTCTCATCATCTCCCTAATTCTAAATGCTGGCACATCTCAAGGGAAACTTTTGATTCTGTCTATATTTACAGTCACTTGCTAGGTGATTTACTAGTCATATATCTTTTTTTTTTGTAGATAATTATTTTTTATTGAAGGGTAGTTGACACACAGTATTACATTAGTTTCAGGTGAGGTGTACAAAACAGTGATTCAACATTTATATACATGATAATTCTAGCTACCAGCTATCACCATACAAAGTTGTTACAATATTTTGTACTAGTCATATATCTTAAACTGCTGTCTATACATTGGCAACTTCCAACCCAAACCTCTGCAGTGATGCCATGTTCTGAACGTTTTCTTCCTTGGCATCTCTAGCAGACGTGTAATAAGAGCCTCACATTCAACATATCCAAATTGAGTTCCCCATCTCACTCTCCTCCCAAACGAGCATCACAGATAGCTGCCCCGTCCAGTTGGCCGCAACTCCATCCTTCTAGTACTCAAGCCAAAATACTTGGAATCATCCTTGGCTCCTCTCTTTTACTAATCTGATTTTTCCATAAATTCTGTTGTTTATATCTTAAAACCTACCTAGAACCCACATGCTTCTCACGCTGCTTTGTGGCTACTACTCTCACCATGTTGTTGCTTTCACTCTGTTATGAGTCGCCACTGTTTCTCACCTGAATTTCTTCGTAGCCTCTTATACGGTCTATCTCCACCCTTATCCCCAAGTCTGTTCGTGGTAGAGTGACCAAAGCAGTTCTTTCTGATCATAAACCAAGTCGTGTCAGTCTTCTCTCAGCTTTCTAGTGTAGTCCCATTATATTTAAAATAATATCCAAAATTTTTACTATGGACCATGAGACTTTATTTGATATAGCCCCTGTTTAATTCTACCAGTCTCCCCTTGTCCATTCCTTCCTTAAACATGAATGACCTTCCAGTCTTGGTGATACTGATCTTGGTCCTCTCTGCTTGGAATGGTCTCCTCTGAGATATTTGCATGGCTTGCTCCCTCATTTTATTCAGCTCTCTGCTCAAATATCATCTTCTCAGATAGGTAACAGCTCTCTACCACCCAGTGCTAACAAAACAGTGCTCATGTCTCTCTCTGTCTCTTACCAGAATTCATTTTTGGTTATTATACTTACAATACCTGATATATTATGAATTTTTGTTAATCTCTTTTTTTGTCTGTTTCCTCTTTTTTTTGTTTGTTTCCTTGAGACTTTCGTTTATGGTAGAATATGCATTTCATGAATACATGTGCTTTCTAAAACTTCTCATGTACTGGATCAGTTCTTCGTACCCAAAAGGTGCCCATTTCACATCTTTTAAAGAAAATAATGAAATAATGGCCTCTATACAAATGTGTTATATAGAGCTGCTATAATTCCTTAACTAAAATTATAATTTATTTTCTTGGATTAGACTGAATGATCTATATTTTTTGATATTTGATGTTATTTTTAAGTGAGGGTATGAAACAGTCACTAAAAAATTTTTAGAATCAAGGGTGGAAGAAAACCCAGAAACTCATCTGAATCAGCGACCAACTACTAGCATATATAAGTATTCAGACAACCATCCATCTTTATTGAATGTTTGTCTTGTTTTTACAACTTTTCCAGCATTTTACAACCTTGATGGGAAATCTTTTCCAATATTTAATTTTTCTTTCAATTGAACATCTATGTTTAAGTCAAATCAGATTTGATCACTCAAGTTTAAGTTCTTTTTTTAAGAGATCTGGGAAAATAGAAGATTAATTCTGCAAACAAAATGCTTCAGTAGAAGAGTGTTCATATTCAGTATAGGGGTGCATAATAGGAATGCTGTTGCTTGAATATTGTGAAATTGATCATGGGAACAAGAAGGAATTTTTTAACCATTTCAAGTACTTTAGGGTTTTTAATTCATGAGATCTGTTTTTATTCATTCATGTTTGTTTGTTTGTTCAGCTTCACATACAGTTTTTATTCTCCTACCAAAACACAGATACCAGAAGTTCACATAGCAAATAAACTCCACTAATTAAAAAATAATAATCCCAAGTCTTGCATTGCAAAGTAATAGTTCATCTCAGGGTTGTATTATAATTTTAAATAATAGCTCTTCTGTTTGGCTCCTGGAGGCACTCAACATATATCTGTGGATGGGTTAGGGTGGAAATGGCAAGAATATAGAAGGGGGACAGAGCAGAAAGAAAGATCGTTTCTGGAAATTGATGATCACTTGAAAAAGATTTTTTGTTTGTTACCTTGAAAAAGATTAAGGGAAGAGTGGAACCTTTTTATAATTCAGTCATTGTTTTAATCCCATGATATGTTAAAACTAACCCAACTAAATGATCACCCATTAGATAATGAAGATTTGAGCTAAAGTCAGAGTAGGGCTACTTTTGGGG